GAAACAGTCACCATTCTTGTATATAGCACCGCTTATCTGTATATTTTTAAATCGATGCCTATAATTAGAGCAGTGGAAAGTCAAATACATTTTCTGATACATGAAAAGTCTCGAAGTATTCCAAACCTAAATCAAGGAAGTAATTATTTATGACATGCTTCATATGTTCTGTAATTAGTGATCCAGTGACAAAGTAATCATCATATATATATTTACTTGAAATTTTTGCTTCCGGCAAATCCTCTACTATACAGTATTTTTTTGTAAAAGAAACCAAGGCACTTGTAATTTCAATGTTTATAAATTTATTCAACAATGAGCCAAATACACGAACATTTTCATCGTCGTTCAGTCGACAATCGTCTTCATAAGTGGGTAGTACTCGATTTAGTTCTGTTGTGAGTATTTTTGTTTGAACCAAACTATTTATGACAAGCTCAATATCCTGATAAACTTGTATACTTTGTATGATAGTGAGATCTTTTAATTTCAATAAAAAAGACAATGCGTTATGCATGTAATTAAACATCAGATGATATTTTTTTAATATCTTTAATGCAAAAGAAAATATTTCCCAGTAACTATTATATTCATAAGCAATGCTTATAGATTTAACGTTCTTTTTGTTGTTATGCATTGTCTTTTGTTTTCTCTTAAACCGTCGTACTCTCTCTTTTTCTCGTTTCACTTGATTGTCGCTTTCTTGTAAAATAATACTAATTAATTTAAAGAACTCCAAGACCTTATTTGCATAAACGCATCCCAGCAATTCAAGGGTCATCTGATATTTCCCTTCGACACTTTGTTCACTGACATTCAACCGATATGGATCTTCCGCTGGATGAATTAAATCGTTCCCGGAAAACAAGTAGTTTTCGTTTTTAAATCCCATGTGTCTGACTTTTAGATGGTCGATCTTCCTCCAACCTGGATTGCTGAGGATTGTGTTTAATATAATAGCAAGGCTCTTTTCCTCTGCATAAAAAAGAAATAAAAAATATAAAAAAATTGTATTCGAGAAAGGAAATATTTCCTTTTATTAACAATTTTATTTCAAAATAAATAAAATATTTAGTTAAAATAATCATAACAAACATAGTTTAATTGCCCTGCACATATATAGCACATACTATAGTCATGATTTTTTACCCAGAAAATCATTGTTTTACCTACTACCATTGTTTTACTTTTTTTTTATATTTACCTACTACTGATTCAAATTATTATTTTACTTTTTTATCATTTAAAGTCTAGTTATAGTGGTCTATTGCAATAAAAAAAGATAAAGGAAAACAGTTAATCTTTGATGTGTTTTATTAATTTGGAGAAATTGATTTACAAGGGTATAAAAATGATACTAAAAACTTTTAATTTTCATCCACTTGTTTACATACAATAGTACAATCATGATTTTTAATTTACCAATCAGTGTATTCTCATCACTGCTTAACTTCTTATTTTTGTATTGGGGTAAAATATTATAATAATCATTATAGTATGGAATATCGTAAAAAATAGTATGTGTTAAAACACCTACCTTGTATTTCGACAAAAGTTGTATGTCCTACATCATTCAAACCTAAATCCAAGACATAATTTTTGATCGCACTGTCTACTTGATTGTGAATTAGTGTGCTTATGATTGTTAAATAACTAACTTGTTCTGAATTTAAGTTTTTAAAGGGTACTGGCTCACATGAGTTTTCTAGTCGTTGGCAGTATTTTTTTGCGAAACGGACCAACATAAATTTTTGGAAATTTAAAAAAAAATCGAATGTTTTTCTAAATTCACTTACATTGTCATCATCGTTTTTTAGGTATTCGTTGTTATAATCGGGAAGTAATTGATTTACATCTGTTGCAATACGCTTCATTTCAAGCACACTAGTAATGACTTGATGTATGTCCCGAAAATATGTTTGTGTATTTCCTAATTGGTTCAAAGGTAGTAAGATAAATGCATTGCTCATGCACTCAAACATCTTCCGGCCTTTTTTTAATTGACTCAATGCAAAATTAAAGATTTCCCAGAATTTGCTATAGTTATACTCGGGTGCTGTAAACGAACCACTTTGACCACTGTTATGTTTATTTGATCGATACACAGTAATACTCCGTATCCTGTTCCTTTCAATATTTTCTTCAATTTTGCTTTTGTTTAGAATAAAATTTATTAACACGATAGTCTCTAAGACAGCGTTCACATACACACATCCAAGTAATAAGATAGTCATATGATATTTTGTACTGACGTTGTCGACGTTAACATAGTTGTTAGGCTCTGTTTGGATGTTTGGCTCTTCGATGCCTACAAATACATCTTTTCCGGAAAAATGTATAATCTTGTTGGTAACAAATTCATATTTTACACTTACATGTTTCATTTGTCCCCAACCGGGAAAACTAAGTAGTGCATTTAGATTGTTAACTAAGTTATTTACTTCATCGCACGAAACGAACAATTGCAAATTACACACCGTTAAAAAAACAGTACAATATTTCAGTATACACATTTTTTTTTGAGATTCAGTAACTATTTAAGAGTTCATAATTATTGAACAATGTATAATAATCAGATCAATTGTAAAACAAAAGTTATAAAATCGAAATTTGCATTGGTATTTAAAATAAAAATGTATTAATGTGTTGACATATAAATCTTGCATGAAGTAAACTCATAAATATTTAAACATAACTATTACAAGAACTACTTATTACTATAACTCTTATTGAAAAAAACATTTTAAAATTAAAATTATGAATAGGAATTAAAAATGTTGGACAAATATATTTCGAATCAAGTAGCTCGTAAACATTTTTTTTTATTTTGCATACTACCTTTGCACTCTGTAATGTAAATATATAGAATATGACGTAGTTATAGCCTTGGTATAATAGTATATGTATAAAATAAAACAATAGTAACAAATATATATATATTCAATATATTTTTATACATATGTTAGCAAATTCATATGTATTTTGTTTAGTATACAGAATAAAAAAATTTTAAATATCGTAACCCAAAAAAAACAAAAGAATTTTCATGGTTGACGCACAAATTAAAAAAATGTCATAAATAAAGTTTATATTTTGTCCATTATTTATTCCAATACTTTTGAAAATAGCACTATAAAAAACAATTATTTACAGTTTTCAATTATACACCACGTGCTTTGCTGCTGTAATTATCATTAGCTCATTTTTTCAGTCCGCCGACTAAAAAGTATTTCTAATCTAAGTGTGGTTATTCCCAGATCCTAGCAAAACCGATGACCGATTTTACCGTGACGAGTAGAAAGACGGTGCCGCGACTACTGTTGATAGTCATTATATGACTGTAGTTGCAACAGTGAGACATTTGGATGTTGACGAAAGAAAAAGACTGATTAAGCTGACGTCAAAACCACAATTGCTCGACCTATTGGGCTGAACCACAACATTGTGCAAATACTGACTGGACACGGCACATTCAGGTCCAAACTCCACAGTTTTAAGCTAGTGGACGCTCCTAACTGCGAATGTGGCGACCCAAATGAGGATGTAGAGCACGTTCTATATCACTGTCGGATTCAATGAGGAGAGGGACAGACTTGAGCTTGCTGTTCATAGAGCGAGTCATCTGTGGCCCTGTGCTCCCTAGGTCTTCATGACGCCTAGACCGTTATACGCTGCGCTTGACAAGTTTGCGAACAAGATCAGGGAGCGTTCATGAGCCGCCATAGAAGTACAGAACGCCATCCTGGCCGTGTACTTGTATTGCGCCCGTCATACTTCAATTGGATAGCCCTAAATTTGGGGCGAACTACTAAAGCCAAGAAACGATCGATAAAAATTATATATTTAAGTATATAATTTTTCGAATAATTTTCAAATAAGGTTAATTTTAGTACAATATATTAGAGTAAATAACGAGTAAACGATATTATCTAGTGCAAAAAAATAAAATTAATAATAATCAAAAAGACAATTGCTAAGTTAAAACATAATACTTTAATGTTTTATTACTAACTCATGTGTGTTAACACATTTTTTTTAATTCACTGTTTTATTTTCAAAAAGCATTTATCCTGTTAACCCTTGTAAACCTAACCTAGTCTATCCGTCCTTGTTAGACCGAAAGAATGATAAACAAAATTTGGGTTTGATTGGTCATAATTAGAAAGAGAGAGTGCCTAAAATAAATGTTCCCTAAAAATGTCGGTTCGATTAGACCGTTATTTAAAAAATTAACGTTAATGACTTGGAATCCTTTTTTCCACTTAAAATGGATGGAAAAGTAGTGGAAAAAGGTTTTTAACATTTGACCTACCAAAGAGGCTATAGTCTATGATTTTGTTCTGAATAATAGACGGATAATTACAGTTTATCACACGATTCCATATTTTCTCATCTTCGCATCACGGCTATAGTTTAATAATATTTTAAAAGGTAGAAACAAATTGTAATAAAAAAAACATTATCTTATCAACGTTGTTGTAATAATTGAAAGTATATAAATAAAACTAAATCAACTTTACATACTATTCGAGTAATAATAATATTGTAGTCACTAAAATATTTTTAAACTTTTTTTTGGAATTATTTGATATTAATTATGTATATTAATATTAGATGTAATTTATGCATGTATGTACATAATATGTGTATTGAATGGGTCCATATTAGTTTGTTCCCAATTTTTTCTTTAACTACTGAACCGATATTAGTGAAATAAAAACCCAACTAATCGTTAAATCCTCAGGAATATTTTAGTTAGGTTTAACTATCGTGAGATAAACTATAATTACGCAAATGTGAAAATCAAATTTAGATTTTTTTAGCATCATAACTTTGATATTAATTATTAATATTAAGATAAAAAAAAAATTGTTTACATAGGTATTTAGAATTTTTTCATAGTCTTGTATTTTGTTGTGAATTTTTTATTCTGATACAAATAAATTTATTATATATGTATATAACTTCGCAATTTACAACATATTAGATGGTTTTCTAGCGTCAAGTTTATAAAATATTCAACTAAATGTTAATTTAACAATATTTAATATGCACATTACAATAATATTATACGAAAACCTTCTAAATTTAGATCTATGAATAATATCGTGTTTCACATGAATAAATATAAAATATTATAATTTTCAGAATTCTAACTATTAGAGCTTGAATAACTTTTTTTGTAATTAATTATTTGTAATACTTGATTCACATATTGTATACACCAAGGATTTTGTTTCCATCTTATCATTGTTGTTGTACATTCTCGAAAAAATATAAATAAAACTAAATCAACTTTAGATACATATAATAATAGTAGGGTGCTATTTAACAAATAATATAATGGTATACATAATATATACTTGGTATTTAGAGATAAACTATAAAATATTTTTAAACAGAGTGGACATTAAGAAACGTTGAATTTATTAACACAGCAATAGTTCCCTTATTTTTCAAACACACTACACCAAGTGCAATTTTATTGTATTGGTTTTGATTTTGATATTATTTTTCAAATTAAATATTAGTTAGTCCTGTAGATAATCACCCATCGGGACTGTTTGGCAAAACGTCTTAATATAGCCCATGAATACTTGATCAAACAGTTTCATGATAGTAGGTTTAAAATCATCCAGCATCTCCTCCCAATTTTGATTCATTAAATTGTTTACTGTATCGCCTGTGATTAAACATAATACAATTTATCAAAATGTAATGTTTATAGCTTTCTTAATCTAGAAAATACAACTGAGTAAAAAGTTATGGAGAAGATAAAAAAATAGAGTACACCTTATACCGAAAAAAATAAAAGTCTTTTTACACTTCATACTCCATGTAATAAAATCAACATAACATACACATTTAAATAATATTTGTAACTTTTTACGGCTTCATTACATTGATGTAATTTGTTAATATTAAGGTTAGGTATAATTTATGCATGCATGTAAATATGCATATTAAATGGGTGCATATTAGTTTGTTCCCACTTATTCTTCTGGAAATATTGTACCAATATAAATGAAATAAATCCCAAATAATCGTTAAATTCCCAGGAATATTTTAGTAGGGTTTAATTATTGTGAGATAAACTATAATTATGCACATGTAAAAAACAAATTTAGATTCCTAATATTTATACTATTAAAGCTAGAATAGCTTTTAATGTAATTAATTATTTGTTATGCTGAATGAACATGTTATACACACCGAGAATTCTGTTTCCATTGAATAAGTTGTAAAAATGAAAATGGATTCTTGAAACTGATATTGTCTTCGATAAATGTAAAGGTTCCAAAAAATACTCTCCGTCCTTTGTAATTTTTTGAAATTGTATCGTAAAATTACTTTTGTAGTTGTCTAAAATAAATACGAGACATAAAATAAAGAATTTTAAGGAACTGTGCAAAGTATACATTATTGTAAGTATTTGATTACCCATCCAGGTTTCGAATTTTCCTTTTCCTTGGACCGGTACCATAAACAATCTTCCACTAATTTCGTAAAAACCCTTATTTATAAAACGTTCTCTCGCTTCTATACCGACAAAGCATTTGTAGGTTTTTCGATCAAAACTAGAACATCATATTACAACAGTTAAAACAATCTTAGGGTAATATAATGTAGAAAAAAAAAATTATAAAAAATCATACTTTATAGCGTTGATAGCAAAAGAACGTATACCATGCACATCTAAGTCTCTGAGTTTGAAAACTACTTGATTTTGACTTTGGCCTTTAGAGACTTCCATCGATTTCAGGTGATAAGGGTCCATTTGGGGTAACCCAAGTCGAGGGACGCCTATTATGATTTTAATGAGAACTTTCAACACTAAAAGTTATCAAATAATAAACTTACCAGGGGCTATGATAGGTATAGCTTCATCCAAAGCTTTCCAAATGCACTGGTTTAGATTCGGATCACTTAAACGGCATGGTGTGAAACTTACTGGAAATTAACACACATTTGTTGTGTTACAAAGTAGTTAAACTAACAATTGTGTATTTTTTATTCAAAAATAATTTACTTAGCACATAGTTTTTTTTAAATGAGTATGTTATGATAAAAAAAAATATATATATATAATAGTTATACATTATTATAATCAAATAAACAAGATGACTTGTTTATTTCATCCTATTCACTACCAAAAATGGATACTGCAAGAACACACTTAAGAAAGATCAGTATCGAATTTACTCGAAAGTGCTAAAGTTTTATTAGTTTAAAACTGATTATTCTCGATTTTTAAATTTAATTGTCTTAAAATGTAATTTGACTTCAAAATACTTAAACCCTTTTTTTATTTTGGAAATTTCGGTAAAGCTTAGACTGCCATACAAAAGTTTATTTTAATTACCTAAAACGTTTTTAAGTATTTATTAAGAAATGTATAACCATCTTAATAAAACAAAATATATTCTTAACTAACAAAATGTCCTATATAACATCAAAAGCGTTTATACAGTATTATTTTGTACATATTTATATTTTAAACTCTTTACTTGGCACGGTATTTCTGAAAATGCAATGTTAATTAATGGTTTAAAATATAATATATATACCTACATTTGGTAGGTGACATTCCATGATTTTCCTAAAAAGTACTATAATTTCAATTATTTTTAATATTTTAATTGGCCCTTGACAAGTCTGGCGGTGTAATAAAATTAAAATGTTTAATATAACAATTTTTAGCTTTATTTAAATTGTTTACGGTAATACTCTTAATTAAAAAAGTATGTGTTCTCGTCAGTAATTATTACATGCTTGAAACATAATAACACCGTCGAAGTAGTCGAGGCTTTATTAATAAAAAAAAAAAATGCTGATACTCACACAACATAGATGGTCCTTTCGCAAAGGCCGCAGGAACTGCTAATGCCAATGCAAACATATAGCAAAGTAACCTTATTGGCCTAGCTAACATTTTTATATTTAGTTATTTTTGTTTTATACAATTTTAACTACAAAAATGATCTAAACGACGAAGCTACCAAGTCAGTACTGTCAGCAAATTCAACTGTAAACTCAATTGTAGTTTTTATAGTCTTATTTTTTAAGAAGGCTTTTTGGTGAGAAACAAATATATGTCTTTTGTATTGTTATAATATTATTTTACCATTTAATTAAATGCATTAAAACTTGACTGAATAAATTAGGTGTACAACTTTTCAATGTCAACAACAGCGCATTGAATATTCATCAAACTTTATCATTATAATGGAATTTTCGAAAATATTCTGCTTTAAGTTATTCAAAATACTGTTAACGTCGGAAGCGGTTAACACATTTTTTTTAGAAATGTTCTCATAACATTATTATGAAAATAATATAACATGTAATTATAATGATTCCAAATTCATGACCTAAACACCTATAAACAAGGAATGAACAGCCTAACAAGGTATCATAAAAGTAATGTAACAATGTCCTACATACTGTTCAATGATAAATAATGATATCCAACGTTTATTTATTAAAATAAAGAACTTCGTTCCAATAAATTATCACCTATCATAAATAAATAAAAAGATTATTAAACGTCTATAAAATTGTTATTGGCCAATAATGTGATTAAATTCTTATTTCTAATATTATTAGAGCTGATCGTCTCTCAATAATAATTTAGTGTTCATACATATTTTGTTTTTTTAGTCTAAACTTGATTTTTACTTTATAGGCAATAAACTGACCCCTTTGTTTAAATTCACAAAGCTATTGAAAAACATTTTAACCAACTCCCCTCCATAAGTTATCAGTTTAAATTGAATTCATACCTAAACGTTGTGAAATAGATTCCATGCAAATCTGTGGTTACTAGACCCCATTTTGGAATTGTCTTACTCGATTTAAACCGCACTTTATTTAGATTGTTTTGAATTAGAACTGCAAAGGTTTATACTGTACATGGATTGTTTTGTATTTCTAAGCCGCAAAACGAATTCTTCTTGTAGCAAGTCTATAAAACAGAAAACCAACTTAAAAGGTACTTAATTGGGGCCAAAAATTAAAAAGGTCGTGCAACAACACATATTTAACTTGTTGTGAATTTTATTAATGGCTCTAATTACTAAAATAACTCAACCGACCAGAATACCGCTTTTTTCTGTGATGTGACTTTTGGATGCGTTGCGTCTTTCCAAATTTGAAGTGATGCACAATTTTTTATTGAGTAATAGTATATACACAAAAGAAAAATATACTTAAGTACCGTAAAATAAAAACCAATTTGAATTATGATAATTTAGATTAATTCTAAAACGCCAAAAAAACTATTCAAGGCAAGGTTAGTTTAAAATTACTTTTAAGTATATAGGTCTATTATAGAGTCAAACTATCCGTAGCAATACTCATTGTTGAATATCATTAGTTAAATAATATTGTATGAGAACTTAATGTTGTACCTGAATCCTAGAGAGATTTACCATAATTCATGGTAAGTATTTTCACGGCATGTGTATTGTGTTTGTTTTCTCAATTAAACAATTAAATGGCGAAAGAAAATATTATCCTACTCTACCGGTTGTGAGTAATTCAAATTAGTATTGTGATAAAATAATACCAACAAATATATTTTATTATTTGTATATTAATAATGCACAAAAAAAAAAAAATTGTGTAAAGTATTTGTCATAAAAGGAATGACAGGTCTAGGTTTGCACACTACATAAACTATGTATAAGTTAAAATACCAAAACATAAATTTTATTATGGATATATTAATAATGTACAAAAAAATTAACTGTTGTAAAGTATTTGTCATACAAGGAAAGAAGAAAGGGATAGGTTTGCACACTACACAAACCGTTGTATGATTGGTCAAATTAAAGTTTAAAGATAGAATATTATGTTATAACGAAACACTTCATAACCCACTACTATAATATAACACTTTAAAAGACCATTTGATCAAGAAGTATTTTTACTTTCATCACTTAAATGGTAACACGGATTATATATTTTAATAAAATGTGGTCTTCAGTGCAATGCATCTCTCATCTCATTAATAATTTTAAATTCTAGCTAATTATTCAAAGCTGGTTATCTATTTTTTATTTTCATAATTTAGGGTGAGTACAAAATTAAATTCCTAGGAGTGTTCGTGTGTAACAAAAGTTCTAATGACATTTATTAATGAAACTACATGCGTCTCGGGTATCTCAAACTAAAATGGTGCTTACGGGTAATATTACGGCCAAGATTCCACTAGACGACTTATTAATGGTAAAATAAAGTCATACATAATTTCATTTAACAAAGTGATTGGTCATTCTTAGAAAATGTTTGACTGTTTTTAATTATTCTTTTGACATTTTCATGTCTAAGCTCTGGCACATAACCGAAAAAAGGGTAACGAAAAAAGCGTTGGGGTTGGGGGTGGGAATTAGCTGTGGTACATAACCGAAAAAAGCGTTCGTTACTAAAAGCGTTCGTTACAAAATCGTTCTTTACAAAAGCGTTACAGGGATAGGAGATAGGGGTGGGAGATAAGGGGTGGGAGATATGGGGTGGAAGATAGGGGGGATGGGGGGAGATGGGTTGGGAGATAGAGGTGGGAGATAGGGGTGGGAGATAGGGGTAAAGATTAGGGTAAGATATAGGAGATAAAAGATATGTTGTACGTTCAACGGTCAAGTTAGAACTAAATGATATATTCAAAGTAGTTTTATATCATTATCTATAATTCCACCACTACTCTAAATTTGTTCGGTACTTCAACGAGACATGGAAATGCTCTTTCGTGGTTGCAGACTCAGCTGAAAAACTTTTTCATACTTTATTAGCTAACCCAAATTTGATATATTCTTCGACAATATAGCCCCAGTGGCGTAGTTACCGGGGGGGGGGGCAAGGAGTTAAGGTGACCTCTATTGGTCGCTCGTCACTTTAAATAAAGTTCTATAAGCAAAAATTTCATCGTCTCAGTTTAATTGATGTAAATAACTTACTTCAAGGACGACAATGAGGTATCACATTGTTATCGCGAAACATATTCGTATTCACATATTATACTATATAAGACCGTGGGAATATTAAATACAAATTCTTTACTTTTTATAGCACTAATTATAATCGTTAAATTGTAAGTAAAAATAATGTGTGTTTCATTATATATATAAATAATCAGCCATTTTTCAGCCGAGTCTGCAACCACGATAGAACATTTTCATGTCTCGTTGAAGTACCGAATAAATTTAGATTAGTTGTGGAATTATAATTAAAAAAAAAAAAATTACATGGAGCTTCCAGTTACAGCATAAGGCCAAGGAAATTAAAAAATTATGTACAATCGAGTTTCTGGCTAAAATTGTAGTGTTTATTATCTGGCCAAAAGTAACTTAACATAGAGAATTAAACTATTTTGAATTTATTATTTAGTTCTAATTTGAACGTTGAACGTACAACATATCTCTTATCTCATAACAGATAACAGCGTAACAGATTTACATTCGAAATGGATCCGAAATGGTCTTTCCGATAATTGTCTTTCGTCGTCGCTTCGTAGTTAACATAACGAATGATTTTTGGTACCTTGCGGCGCGTAACAGCGTAACGCTTTTTTTGGTAACACTTTTTTTCGGTTATATACCGGCTAATTCTCACCCCTATCTCCTCCCGATCCCCCAACCCCATCTACGTGTGGTAACGCTTTTTTGGTAACGCTCTTTTCGGTTGTGCCAGGGTTATGTGCAAGAGCTCTAAGTCATGAAAATGTCAATATTATTGATTTTTATAACTAATGGAGTTTGACAGTAAAACTTGATAATAAAAACTCATAAAAAGTTTCCAGAAAATAAAAATAAAAATAATAATTTTCTTTAGATACAGAATAGTATTATGACAATTTACATTAAGATAAACTGATCATATCCTTTGTAAAAAAACAAACAATTTGATCTCTACATATAATCAATTTCTCATTATTGTATAACTATTTCAGATTACTACACGGTCGATCAATTACATGTTTCTAATTCAAAGAAATACATTTAATAAATAGCATACTATGCAACGTTAACGAAATTGTGGTTTTTGTAATTATTACCGGCTTACAGTAACCGTGTAAAGAACTAACACCCTTGGCTAGAAAATTCTAGGAACTTTCGAACGCTATAATAACCTCATGCATCTAACCTAACACACACATCTGTTTCTAGTTACTTTCCAGGTGTTTAGTTTTGCATTAACGCTAAACGTAGAAAGTCACGGTTGGACTGACGTAACTTAACACCTCAGTACGGTTTTTACTCATTAAACATGAACTTAAAAATATTAGTCCCTATTGTCAATCCGAACTAAACACCTGCATATTTACATTTTACATACAAGAAAAATAATCATATCATGAGAGCATTTTAAAATCTGTTAACATTATTACACGTTTATATATTTGTGATTACAATGTCATGCAATAACAAAAATATTAGTATCGTATATTACACGAACAAGTTAATTTTGGATAGGTGAAAATAAAATGACAGCATTGATTTTAGAATATACTAAAATCAATGATATCAAGCAAAAAATAAAATGGAATGCAAGGTTATTTAATTAGGTTAAATAAAGATTTATATCATGTGCGGATGATAGTAATACTAATTATTGGCGATGTATAATTTTTTTATTGCGTAATAATACACAAAAAAAAATAGATTTTAGTAACGTGTAATAAAAAATTAATTCTAAAAACGCCAAAAAAACTGTTCAAGGCAAGGTTAGTTTAAAATTACTTTTTTAAGTGTATAGGTCTATTATAAAGCCAAACGATCCGGAGCAATACTCATTGTTGAATATCATTAGTTAAATAATATTGTATGATAACTTAATATTGTACCTGAATCCTAGAGAGGTTTACCATAGTTCATGATGAAGTATTTTCACGTCATGTGTATTGTGTTTGTTTTCTCAATTAAACAATTAAATGGCGAAAGAAAATATTATCCTAATCTACCGGTTGTGAGTAATTCAAATTAGTATTGTAATAAAATAATATTAATAAATATATTTTATTATGTGTATATTAATAATGCACAAGAAAAAAAAAATTTGTTAAGTATTTGTCATAAAAGGAATGACAGGTCTAGGTTTGCACACTACATAAGCTATTGTATAAGTTAAAATATTCAGACAATTTAAAAAGGTATTTTCGAAAATAGATATGATATTACACTTAAGATTCAGTGAAAGAAGGAAGATCTAGTTGTGCACACTACACAATTTAAACACCAACCATTATATTGATTGTATGATAATTTACTATACTTCCTAAATTTATTTGGTAATATTATTTCTGTTGGGTACTTATTCATCCCTGCGGTTAGGGGAAAAAGAATTCTACCAAGGTCTTCACGCCTGTCGTAAAAGGCGACTAACGTGACGTAGAGCTCTCCGACAAGTGGCCTTCTGACAGGTCACTTCTTCTTGAGACACACCTTCCCTGGCCCGCAATTAGCACCCAGTGCTACTAGTCGGTCAGCGGTCGTAGGGGATCTCTTCGGGGCGAACCACTAAAGCCAAGGTACACCTGCCGGTTGTTAGGTACTTATTATACCTTAACCTTACTAGTTACTTATAATTGTATAATTAACAAAATATTTACTCTCTTAATTACTTGCCAATGTTTCTAAGATAATAACACTGTTGTTGATAAGTTTTTATTTATTTGATGACCAATTTACTATTTAGGGTGTATATAAAATGAAATTTAAAGGAGCGTTTGTTTGCAATGAAAGTGCGCACTATCTTATACGCTTGAGAGTTTATGTGTCACGGGTAACCGAAAAACAAACCATGATACTTGGAAATATTACGGCGTTGGTCCCGTTAGATGACTCTTTAAATGTATGTAAAATTAACAAAACTAAATTAAATAAAACTTGTTTAACGATTTCACTTATTGCAGTTTCATTTAAATATGGCAGTTTTAGATCAAATCGGCGGCTGGAAAGATAATGCCTACGTTTACAATCATCCAAAAGCTTGTAGTTCTCTGAAGTTTTTAATGGGAGAAACTTGGACTCCGCTTATGCGTAATTTTAAATTAAACTCAACCGATTGTCCATTGCCAAAGGTTCATAACTGCTCTCATAATGCTCGATGACTACCTATTCAAAGAATGTTCAGAAAACTATATTTCACATTCAAATTATTTTACAGGGATTTTACATAATGGAAGGATTCGATTTGTCGTTATTCGAAAAAATGAACATTCCGAAACAATTATATTATGGAACTTACAAGATGAAAATAGTGTACACAGACAAAAGCGATGTTGTTGTCGGTTGTTTTATTATAGTAGTTGAAATATTAAGACCGTGGGAATAAAGTATAAACCAACATTTGTTGATGACAATGTTGACACGAGTTTACCATTTATGCTGTGAACAATTTAAAACTTGTCAACACTATTACACATTTATATATTTGTTATTACAATGTCATGCAATTACAAAAATATAAGTACCGTATATAACACAAACAAGTTAATTTTGGATAGGTTTATTATAAAACGACAATAATTTCGTGACTGTAAAAAAACAAAAAATGTAATGGGATGCTAGGTTATGTTTAAATAAAAACCTGAATCATGTGTGGATGAGAGTAATAATAATTGTTAGTGGTTACTGTGATTGAACATATAAATCTACACAATAGCAACATTGAATTTTAGTAGGGTATAACATTATCAACAAATTAATTTAAGTAGGGAATTCACAAAATAGCAACACTGCATTACGATTTACCCACTCTGAAATAATGAGTTCCATCTTTTTCTCATTCTTTAATTTCCACTATCCGACTTATGGCTTATATGTCAAAATAAAAAATAAATTTAATTTAAACATGTTGTTTTTAACTAAACATTTAAAAACATTAGTTATTTCTCAGATATATAACAGCTACATAGTTTTGTTAATGTTTTTCGGACTATAATTATGATTTATCTGAATTTAATAGGGTAAAATATATCTCTTTAAACAAAATCCTAATAATTCGTTCTAAATTTGAATTAAAAATTGTTCAACAATTCGGAAAAAGGCACGTTTCTTATTGTCACATAATATATACCAACAGACCTAAACAAAATATACATATAAATCAAAACATAAATAATTAATAGTATGACAATTAAATGAAAACGAAAAACATTTAAACTCACTCTAAAGAAACGTGTTCGCCGAATACAACTGAATTGCCCTCAGACTTAACTTGCGATGAACATAGCTTACTTATAGCATTGTTGTTGTCATTGTCGACGGGCAGTAAGTTTATTTTGTTTTTCACGAGCTGTTCGATTTCGTTACAAGATTTGCCTATTATTTTATTGTTGTTTATCGAATCGGCATAGTACAAAATGGCGGCCAGGTGCGAACACCCTACAGTGTCTTTTTGTTCTTGGACTGCAGTACAAAAAAAAATTTAAATAGCGACTGACCAACATAAATTAGTATTAACTTCAAAAAAAGTATTTAAAAAGCTCCAATCTAAGCCCTTCTAAGTTTATAAGCAACCCCTCTTGCTCATTTTTACCGCCTATGAAATAGTGTAAAGATAATCAAATTTTAGAAAAAATAATTCTGGTGTTTAAACGGAAAACAATTTTTTTTTTATTGAATTCAATTAATTTGCAATCGCATTCAGATATGAAACGAATTTATTTAAATTCCCCATTCCTTAAAAATAATTGTAATGCATTCATGATTGCATTACTCTTAAAATGGAATAAAGTTCAATGTATTCATTCTTTCCAAACACTGCACAATTTATAATGAAAACTCATATCAAAACTAATAAATGAAAAACTTTGATTGTGTAGGCTTAAATATAGCGATTAAAATTGTGTTTTTATTGTGAACATGACTTTTAGGGTTAATCGTCTGCCTACAACAATTTTTTGTTGTTGTACAACGTTGTAAATATAACGTAGTAAAATTATGTAATGCAAATAATATGCGAACAGAAAATATGTATAAGGAATAATTTATCTGTCTCATAGTGTTGGTAATATGGCACATATTATGACTTTTTTTTTTAAATATCTTCTTTTTTTTTATTATAAAAATGCAATCTAAATCCTTTGAAGTTAAACATTTTAAAACCGAAGTACTTTAATTTATATTTAATATGTAAATTACAAATTTTATTTAAAAACTATACATGAAGTTAAACATTAGGTGTCTCGTCTTACCCCAGGTTTCTCTACCATAATTGAGGCATCCGGTTTGTATAACGCCGTTGTTCATGTAAAAATCGACGGTTCCAATGGGTTCTACATAACCTAAGACGGCGACTCCTGTGTGTACCACGTCCACGAATTTCGCCACCCGTGGACTCACGATGGCTTTTTCTTCGAATAATGGTCCTGCCGGATCTAAAGCTATACAACGGGAAGAATGGATGCTAAGAAAATCTCAGAGGAAAACTTAAAAAACGTTGTGACTACGACAGTAATGTATAACATTAGGTAGAATTTTAACAAAACAGTATTATTTTAACATAAATATGTAGATATAATGGCTAGAGTGAGATCAAAATTGATGTAACGCTATTGAATTTTCCAGAATGGTTTGCTTGTTTACTCAATTTCAGTCACTTGTTTGTTGGGAAGAGTGGATATGTCCGTAGGACAAGAGGGAATTCCATGTGGACTCTCTTCTATATATTATATCTCGGTTTTATAATACAATAAATTCGCCATTTAGATATAACTAAAATTAGAGTTTGATACAACAACCAGACAAGCCCACATTTAAAAATCAACAAAAAAAAAATTATTTATCCCATTTACTACCATTGGCGGAAAAAATGCGTTGTGTATTATCTTTGTATGTAATAGTCCAACTTTACTGTTTGTTGCACCAAAATGTGGATAACTTTTCCATGAAAACCCAATTTTTTATACAAATGGACTTGTCTGGTTGTTACTTCAATTCTGAATTATTATTATTTTTCAACAATATAACAATATTATTATTTCATTTCTTAGTGAAGTATAATTTATATATCAAGGCCTATCAAGCCCTCTACATATGCTCCAAGTTACTTCTTACTCTTTCAGTCACTCAACTAAGATGTGACAATGGTTTCTCGAAACTAAAATATGTTAAACCAAACTTAAGGAGTTCCCTCAAACAAGACTCATTAGACAGTAGTATGATTATGTTTATTGAGACAGGATGATTAAACGATGCAAACTCGGATGAACTCATTGATAAGGTGGCTAAAAGAGTAAAGTGTTAAGAAAATATTTATTAATTTGCTTAAATAAAAAATTATTATAATATTTGTCGAGCAAGATGATTTGTGCTATTATTATACACAACAAACAATCTTTTAGCTTTAAGTTTAATTGCAGTTATTAACTTGTAATGGGATCGAAGCGAGCAAAATTGTTTGTCCATCATGTAGGCAATTTTAAAATATTTCCATATTACAAAAAAACTACCTACCCGCCCCACGTGCGCAGGCCTATATAATTCTAACAATTGAAACGTGTGAGATGCTCAGTTAATTTTAGATAGGTGGGGGCACGTAAAACGTATTAATGATTCATATATTATGTTTCTCTTTTTAAGAGGAGGACATTTTTATTGCGTTTCAAAGTATATTGTGCTAAGTACTATTCACCGGTTACTCGGTCCAACAAGCGTCCAGTGGACTGCCTATAGATAACGCCCACTTGGCCTGCTATTTGACCTCCGAGACTGTGTCCTATCACGTGCACGTTCACAATGCCTGGCCGTTCGTTCCGTATTAATTCGACGAGATTGGCTATTTCTTCTGCTATTAGTGGTAAGTCACAGTACACCGATTTCGCGTATAGCATAGCCCATATAGCAGTTGAGCCGAAATTTGACTGGGGAACGTCACCGGTAACTCGGGAATAATCCACCATGATGACGTTACGATCCTCTGTTCCGTTTAAATAAGCTGTGGACGAACAAAAAAAAAAATTGTTTTTGATGTCTCTTAACAACTGTAAGTTATAATAAACTATGTCGAATCCGTTGTGGATAGCAAGCAAATCCGCCCAAGCACGGACGTTACATAAACCACTTTGATTTGTCTTCTCATATTATCATAAGAGTGTAATGAGCAAAAAAGAACATGTGACTTGTAACATACCTAAGGGAATGGGTAATAGGGAATTCTAATTGCACTTTATTAACTCATTTTTTTAAACGAACTGTTCTCTGAATAAATATTTTTCTGACGCAATTGCATTGCTTTAATAGGTAGTACACCATCTAGTTTTATCTAATCTGTGCCATAAGTTTTTCGACGACTATCGAGTTTGTTCCAAATGTGTATGAAATATTTTTTAGATTTATAAGTAGTACTATCGATAGGCGTTGACAAACTTTTTAACATGGATAGGCACGTCATTGAGCTCGATACAAGAATTTTCATGTCGCCATGTTCTAGTAACACTTTCACTTTCAGTTATAGAGATTTAAGATAAGAGATACGAGATAACATATCCATGTATAAATATTTTTCTGTGGAGCGGAGAAAATAACTAGGTCCTTTTTTAATAAATATGTTGAATAAATCAAATTAAAATCATGTTTTTATAAAATTGAATTATTAAAAGGAGGGCGGGGGACGAAAAATCATACTAGTCGGTTTAAAATTGAATATAATATATGCGCAGTTGGAAAATATCAAATTAATAAACCACGATCCGCCCTAATATTAAAAATAAAATTTTAATATTACATCATAGTACCGCCTGCAGATTCGCATCGAAGCGTTTGCTTAAAAATATAAGGTTAAGAGGATAATCAAAAGCACACACAAATAGCCTAACCTTTTGGAATAACGCTTGAGAATCTATCGTCGTAGTGTGCGGTGTAACCGTGGATGAAGATGACGATTTCTTTGCTGCTGGCAAATGGTGCGCGTTTCACAGTGCGTTCGTCAACAGCAATTCTGGTCACTGCATCTCTGTAATGTTTAAAAATGTACAAAAAAAAAAAAATGGTTTAAAAAATATTGATTTTTCATATTACTTTGTGTACAAATAGAACTCCATGCCATCTATTTTTGTGGGATTTAGAAGACAAATGGGATTGAACATGGCGACGCTCGCAAAAATCGGCGACATTAAAATGTAAACGTATCCAAAGAAAAATACCATAAAAGCCATCGTGTACAATTCCTATAAGGTTCACTTTTAACGGTCACACACAAAACGATGGAATACAACAGTCACATTTCCGTGCCAATGCGATATTATTAGTTTGCGATAATTCTCTCTTTGTCTGACGACCTCCCTATGTTGTATCTTGTTGGCTAAGTCCAATAATTGTGATTTTCCATACAATTGCCATTGTAATAATTTCATACGGATGTCCGGTCATTTCAGTTAAAAAAAATATATTGTAACTGCTACCTAGTATGTTATAATGTTGTACATATAAGTAGCAGAATAAACAGCAACATCATATGTTTTTATAATTTTATCAGCAAAAAAACAATCTCAACATTATTAACACCGCGATAACTGGTTAACATTTATTTTTTTTGGAAAAATTCGTTTTTACCAAACGTAAAAAAAAAGTGAACAATACAATAATTTAATTGTACCTAGTTTAACCTGTGCTGATCTAGAAATAGTAGTATTAATAGTAGTGAGCTAGATTAACGATGATAAAACTGTATTTAACTGTTTTTAATGAAAAAGTAACTGACAACACCGGCCAACTCGATCATCAAGTTTTATCAAGAGATATGTTTAATATTTAATCAAAATATTTATATTGAAAAAACTGTAGCGAGATATTTTAATTCAGTTTCGCTAAGAACAATATTTATATTGCAACGTTTTCTTTATAAACTTATACCTTAACCTATAGTTGCAAGACGTTCACTCTGACATTTAATATTTTACTTAATTAATAAAAAAAAAATGTTTTCTTTCAGAAAATTTAGTATTACGATTTATTTTATACATTCAGTTAGAACTTAAAATATAATTCAAAATCACCGTACATTTTTATTAAGTGCATTATCTTAAAAGTATATATATTAGGTACGCGCAAACATATAGAAAACAATCGCCGCATATTTATTTTAGTATTGTATGTCTGTTTTTAACAAAAAGTATTACAGAAAAGAAAGTTAAAGAAGCTATAGAGAAAGTGTTTAAAAAACTCCTAATCAAAGCCAGTCTAAGTTTATAAGCAACCACCCCCTCCCAATTAGAGGGTATTACCTAAAATAGACAATAGTATAACTCTTTAAATGTTTAAAAAAATATTAGCACACTTACAATATGTTTTATACTGAAAACTTTTGCAAGAGCAACTTTTCATCGCTGCACAATTTATAAGCCAAATACAAATGAAAAAACATTTGTGATAAGCCAGTAAGATTTTAAAGGCGATAAACATTATGATTAATGTCACAACACATACTTATTATATTTTATGGAAAAAAACGGAAAATATCCATCTTCTCGTGGAAAAGGTATCTTAATAAAATTCGATACTTGCCCAATTTTGCTAAAAACACCTTTACAAATACAATAATATAAGTCTTATAATATTTCCTGTTCATATTTTTTGTTGACATTTAATTTTTTGTCAAGTATACTTTCAACAAATTCCTTCTACGTAATACGCATTATATTCTATTAATATTTAGTTTTTAGAAGATTTTTAAATTGCTATTCTAATGCGTTATTTGTGAAAATCCGGTTTTGTAAATTTCTGTTACTAATAAAAATAATTTGTTTGGTTATTTTACAATATTTTTGAAGAAGATAAAATATCTACTGTGGTCTAATTATAATTTTGTTTGTAAAAATATAAAACTAAAAACACAATTTCAAATCCAATAATTTGTATACAATTTAATACTGTTATCCGTTAATATTTGGTTATTGTTGTTTTTGTCGATATTACATTTTTTTCAGGTATGAGTCATACGATTGCTGTACAAAAAAATTGAATTTGTAAAAGAAGTCTATGCAAAACATGACAATAAGACTATCATTTCCAACCTGTTTATGTTTTTAAATAAATGGTAAAAAATACCAACGTTGAGGGGGGCAGGGGGAGGGGTTTGTCGTCAGGACGGTGCACAGTGAAGTCGAAGAGCAGGTGGATTTTTAGAAACAATTATATTTTGTTAATACATGGATTATAAACTAAATTTTAAATAACAAAAAAAACATATAGCTATCTCTCTCATTATTCTTAATATAAGACCGACTCCTATATTAACAGAATTAGCACTTTTCCCATGCTGGTACATATTTATTTTATAAATTTATCTTTCGCGAGTGGAGTTTTAGGACTTGAAGTCTGAAAATCAAATTGAAGATAGATCTAGATTGGGTCTTTAGCAATATAACTTTCACTGTGTTTTTTTTAATTTAAAAATTAGTTGGAACTTGTATACTGATATTTTATATTAATAACACACGGGTCTGCTTAGTTGTGAAAAAAAGTATTATTTTTATTTGTCGACTCACTGATGCATAACATAATTTTGCAAGTATAAAATTACGTTTGTTATTTTGTATCCATCACGTGATTGTATCGTTTAACACTATTTTACCTTCAATACAAGGTGAAAAATAAAATAGTCTATTGATACCTAATATTATAAATTAGAGAACATCAGTGTTTTTATTTTCAAAGTACCTGCTAAAAGTGTATTTTGTGTGTTGAACATTCGATTTTTGGAGCGAATCGACATGGAAACTTTGATTTTAATACTGACAAGTTTGGTCATATTTCTGGCCAACACTTTTTACGGTCAAAGAACGTATTTTCCTAATCTTCCGGTTGTAAGTAATTTGAATTTAAATGTTGGCTTTTCGCCCTGGCCCCGACTTGATTTATAGTGTTTTCTTCATACTAATATCTTACATACTAAATTAATTTATTCTGGCATTTGGAGCTGACTATATTATTATATTGCTCTGGTGACCAGTTCCAATTTGTTAAATGTAAAACTATTACTGTTCTAAAACATTTTGAGTTACTTCTGGTGTGCTTTAAGAGTCTAATTTAGCTCCTATTAACTTCCTCTTTTATAATTTATAATAAATTACAAGTAACATTACATAATAAATTTAATTATTATGTAATGTTACTATTTGCAGATGACCTAAAAAGTGCAAATGTATCGCATTATTAAACCTTATGTAGACTCAGTTCTCTTAAAGAGTGACTTAAATATCCTTTTTAATTGTTGTAGAGTCGATGATTTGTTCCTTATTGTAAGTAGGTGTAAATGTATACACTGTGATCACTAACTGATATTTACTTAGCAATGAAACTATTAGGATTTGTTAAAAGCTGCTGTAAATATTTTAAGAATGTCAATTCATCACGTCATGTTTACCCATTGTTTTGATGTTCCGTTCAATTTAGATTATTTTTAGTTGTGTGATCATATTTTTGTAGAAGGTCAGAAAAATACATAGGATAGTGCCTAGTGCGCCTTATTCCTCTTAGTGCAATCTTATAGTTGCCTATCTTGAAATATTGACTCCCTTGAAAATCCAAGAACTAAACTATATTTCCCTTTTTTATACAGCGTACTTAGAAATAATGTTCCGATTTTTTACATAAACTCAATTTCCACGTTGCAGCTCGGTGCACAGTTATAGGTCTACCGTCTAATCCCATTTTTTCATATAATTCGTCAGAGATCTAATTGTGCACTTCACACTGCCGGGCATCTGCAACATAAATAATAAACATATTATTATTAGTTTTGAACTATTTACAAAATAAAAAAAAAAAACGGTACATATTTCAGGGTGAATACAAAATCAAAATAAAAGGAGCGTTTATATGTAACGAAAGTGTTAACTACCCTATACGTTTCAAGCTTCACACGTCACGGGTGACTAAAACAAAAACTGTGTTGACCGGAAACATTTCAATGAGGATTCCGTTCGACGACAATCTAGATGTAATTTTATCTCACGACTTTAAATAGTTTATGGCAATGCTATAAGTGTATTGTTATTTAGTTACATCTAAACATGGCTGTGTTGGATAAAATCGGCGGTTGGAAGGACAACGCGTTCGTGTACAGAAAACCAAAAGCGTGTACCAACCTCAAGAATTTAATGGGAAATGTATGGGTCAACTTTATAAATAGCTTCAACCGTACTCAAGCCAGTTGCCCGTTGCCTGTCGTAAGTTGTTTAATATGTTTATTTTAGTAGATTTGCAAATTAATGTATTTTTTTATAATAGGGCTTGGTTTAAAATAGAAAAACATTTTTTACAAATGAACAAAGATATAAGTTGTTTAATTAACTTTATCCAAAAATGTATCTTGTGCAATGTGTACAGCTGTTATAACAACATTTCTTGTGGACAATAAATCCTGTTCAGTGGGGTCGGTGCATAGTGAGAATGGAGCATATTGGGACAGGGAAAGTGGCAGGTCTACTATGAGGAGTTATGATAACTGAAAGTTATAAGATCACTTTCAAATAAACGATTCAATAAATCTGTATAAAACTCACAGAATAGCATCTATAGAAATTTACTAAGTGTTTACCTTTTTGGGTGTTCCTCGCTAGATCTACCTAATTTTCGGATCTTAGGCTCTAAACAAATTTTTTTGTACGTTTTTCTGGATTTTAAAATGGAATAGATGAAATTTTTTAATTTTTCGCCTGGTAAAGTACCTTTCAGGTATGATTTCTAATCCATAGAGTTGCTACACAAATAAATCGGTTCAACGGTTTAAAAGAAAACACACATCATTGTAAAAACAATCCTTCTCAGCTACGCGTCAAAGCTAAAACCTTTTGAACCTTTTAAACATTTTTAAATTCACAGAAGTTATTTATTTGTATAAACAAAATTTGTCCATTTGTACAGTTTTTTTTTTAGGTTATGTTATTTTGCAGTATTATTAAACTATATTCAACGTTTAGCTTCGATGCTTAACTAAGAAGGCTTTGATTTTTGTTCTTCTAAACAAATTGATTTCTTGATGTGGCAACTCTAAAGATCAGAAATCGTAACTGAAAGGAACTTAATCAGCTTAAATATTAAAATCCAGAGGACAAACTGAAAATGTTGATATATTTCAACTTAAAATTACAGCGCGCTATAATTTGTTTAAAACATATTTATGATTATATTATTTAAATGAATTAGGTAGGCACTATCAATAAACGTCGACAAACCTAAAAATATCATAAACCCTTCTCGCTAGAATGGGTGGAAACTTTTTTTATTTGTTATCATTTTTCGAGTGTAGTTTTGGGATTCGAGGTCTGAACGTTTGACTGAAGGTAACTCTAGATTTTTTCAGAAATCTGTCTTTTTATTTTTTAATATGGTAAACCCAAAAATAGTGGAAAATTACACTTTTTAGTAAATTTCTAGGCTGCTATGTGAGAATGAATGTCAACGCGTTTTTAAAAAATGAAACTCCAAACCAATTTTTGCTTTTTATACAGTCGATGACTCTTAAAATGTTTTTTTTTGCAGGGGACTTTTATAATGCACGGTTTTGATCTGGCTCTACTAGAGAACATGAATTTTCCCAAGCAATTCTTTTACGGAACGTACAAACTGAAAGTTTTCTACACTGACCCAAGTGATGTTCTTGTTGGCTGTGTAATCATAGTCATTGAATATGTAAGACCCTGGGAATATAATTATAATATGTAATATATAAACATTAAACTTGTACCGACTTCAATCGCTTGATTGGTTTATGATTTTTGTTTATTTTATTTTATTATACAGCAAACATGACATACCTAGTAGACTTTTATATATATTTTTTTAATATTTTACTATTTTCGGCGTCACATTTTAACAAAATTAGAAAAATATTACTTATACTATATTATTAGTTATGTTAAACGTATCACTTGCTGTACACATACTGTTTATTTCTTAGCTGGTAGATACTAATTAATACAACTAGGTAAACTGTAAGACAATAACTACAACTTTTAAACATATTTGTCAAATAATTTTCAACTTATAAGTATGTATAGTACCTACTGTACTATTTTATGTTAATAATAATAGTTTATTTACGCTCTTTAGGGCAATTGAGTGCAGACAAAAATACATAAATACATATGTCTACAAAATGATTTATAATACTATGTTATAATACACTAAATACGTTATATTAATAAATTATTTATTTACTATAAAATAATAAAACATATAAATAAACCCTTAACCACAAAAACAATATTCTATAACGCTATAGAGTGTTATTTTTGTAGTTAAGGGTTTATTAAAAAATTGTATTTTTTTAAAATATACAACCACAAGTGTTGCTATGGTTTTTTTCTATTTAATATAAATTATCTACAAACATTAAACATAAACACCGAAGTTTAGACTCATTGTCATAGTTGAAGTTTAAATCTAACATATTACAGGCTCGGATCATCCTTAATATAAATAGAATAGTATAATTATTTAATATATTTTATTTAAGTACTTTTTGTTACCAAATTAAAAAAAAAAATTTTCAAAAAATTATGACATTATATTCTTAACAATTATCTTTAAGTTGGTTTGAAAAAATTTTAATAAAACATAATCAGCATTAATTATTTATTTTAAAAAATCGGTTAACAACATTTACCCTGCAACATAATTCACTTTAAAGTATAAGTATAGAAAATTAGGGTTTGAAATTTTCATGAAGTTATTTTTTGTGAAGATAAAATTAAAATTAGTTTTTATGCAACCAACACAGTTCATTAGGCCGTGTCCTACGGAAATCCGGCAAATGTGATTAATGTATGCAAACTCAAATCAAAATAATTTGTTTTTAATCGCATCAAACGCATTTGGAACAGCATGGTTAGGATACGACGATCGCATTTGCCAGATTTACATAGGACACGGCGTTAAAGTGGTTTTGAATAAATATCAAAACTCATAAAAAATGTCTTCTTATAAATTACAGCTCAAATCTAAAAATATGCTAAAAAAATATAATTTTAAAATATATTGTTAAAAGTTGTGTATTTTAACTATTTGTTTTCTATTTAATTAAAAAAAAAATTAAGTGTCACAAATATAAAATATATGTATTTTCTATTAATTATGTATGTATTTTATTTAGTTTTATATTATAGAAAACACATTAAGCAAGTAGTTTTATTTATAAAAGTATTTGTTTATTTGTTAATATAATTCATGTACTTAATTAAAAATCATAATTAGTAACAGTCTTTAAATAACAATGCACAACAATATTTAACCATTTTTCAAAACATGAACTAAAATTGTACTTTAATTTACAAAATATACCTTCATAATTTAGTTATAAATTTAAATCAAGTAAAACAACACAAACATAATACTATCAATACACTAGTACCAAATAATGAAAACTATTTAATAGTTTAAAGCTGTTTTACAAAATGATATTATACTGCACTGTGGTCCAGCTTGAAAAGCGTATTGAAATCTGTAAAAACATAATAATTCACAAAAATTATCTGTTCAAAGACTTATAATATTAAGTTAAAAATAATCAAACCTAACCTAACTTCAGAAATTTAGAAAACCGCAAGAAAAAGATTAATCGAGTTACTAAATAAACTGATAAAAATATTTTTAAATAATAAATTCATTGATCATTTTTATTATAAATATTACATAATTAATATTTCGATTATTCAAACAACTAATGCAGTATATCGTTCTTCTAGTTGATTAATTGAGTATTGGCATAAGAGGTAAAAACTAGGCAATTGAGAAACATAATGTAATCGACTAGTTTTTGATAAATAAGTATTTTTCAACTCGACAAATTTATAAAGAAATAAATTAAGACGATTGTTTAATAGAAACTAGTTTACCAATAAAAAGGATGCCATTTTTATTTATATTTTTTATTATTAGGTGGCTTTAGTTTTAAATATTTTCTAATAATTATTTGTTTTGTTTTTAAAATTATTAAATGATATATTTGTTAGAATTTTATATATTATTCGAAGAAAAAAAATGATTTCCAATTTTTGTACATTATGATTTTTAAATGGGTAATATTATGTTGGGTAAAGCATTGATACATAATATAGATATAATAAAATAATAACATTAACTTTGTTTTACCAAAACCATTTATGTTGTCAGTAATGTTGAAACCGCCTGACGATGGGGTTTTTTGGTACTTGCCGATTTCTTCTTGGACAAATATGTTATCCATATCTGTTAGCTCACAACCAAGATGTCTCAACGCAGTTAAAACTTCAAACTGTCGAGAAAATCAAACACATTAATAATTTACAATTATAACAAATATCAATATTAAGGGTTTAAAGGAAAATACAACATGTGTATCAAATGTTCGTTTTTTTGGCTATTTTAGAAAAACTGTCGCCTCCGTTTTTTATCTATTTAACCCCATTGATGTAACAAATTAATCGTAAGTAAAAGTGGTAGCTAACACAATGTTAACTTTTAAATTACACACTTTTTGTCGATTGCCCAGTTCCACTTTCAGCTTTCCTAACTTCATGTCTCTTTCGATTTGATTGCGCTTTTCTTTCAGAGCGTTCGGCTCGTTTTTGGCAAACATCTTAATTATGGATGGCGTTTGAAAAGCTTTCGTGATAGCAGCACTGGTTGCCTAATAATAATTATTTAAGTTAAATAATATGTAACAAAATGTTTTTTTTTTTGAAGTTGTGTTAAATACTTGCCAAACGCATAGTACTTAATTTGTCGTGCAGAGTCGTATCACCGGCTGTAATCTTGCCTAATCTTTCATTAAATTCTTTCAGCTGCTCCACGGTGTCTTCTTTACATTCGTTGTACTCTTCTTCGGTCAAGTCGTGTCTTCGACATAAAAATTAACATTAGTTTTATAACCTAACTGAAAACACAAAACATGTCAATCGACTTTGTTTGTTCCAAATTGAGTAACGACTAAGAGCTCAAAACTTAACATAAGTTACTGTTAAATGCATATTTCTTTTTTAGGTATTTAACTAACGTAACAATAATATTAGCGATAATAATTATTACCTGTTCTCTTCTAAGTCACTGAGCTGTTGCACTAATCTGTCCAACTGAGCTTCCAGATTTTCCTTAAGCATCGCATTTTCGTCCACCGTCGCCATGAGTTTTTTTAATTATTATTAATTGTTATTACAATTTATTGTACATTACAAGAAGTTATAATGGAAACACGATAATATAAAAATGTCCAGTAACAATATTATTATACAATCATTTATTTGTTATCATTTTAAATTTTATCATTATGTTATCAAGTCTCGTCAACAACCTCTAAGGTTTGAGATAAGAAGATAAAGTCGATAACCTGGTAACCCAAGTCTGGTAGCCCAAGGCCGGGTGGTTAACTATTTGGCCATAGATTAAATGCATATATTTAATCTATGGTTTTAATTACAATATATTATTAAGAAAATTTACATACATAATCTCAATGGCTTAATGCACACAAAATACCTACACTTTTTGATACCATCGATTAAAAATGTATTGCTCGTTATTTTTTAAAATAGAAGTTATTTAAATCTCAAATTTATATCTGTTGTGATATTTACTTTTACAATAAAATCATTGAAGTACAATCTTAGTAAAAATTTAATTCGCTCTAAATTATTTCAATATTGTGACTTATAACAATTATTAGTTTTTTTAACTAATGAAATAAAATGTTTTATATCAACTATATATACCTATATACACCCTTTCTCTTTAAAGTCGAGAAAAACACCCTGAAAATTTACATAATATTTTTCATCTCAAAATCTTTTTTAAAAATACTACCAAACTTGTAATTTTTTTCTAAAATCTATAGTCAAACTATTTTTTTTATTGATGTAAACCCGAAATAAACTGAAAAATAACGATTAAAAACACAATAATTCTTATACATTTTGTCATTTTGATATAGCAACCCGTTGACATTTAATTATGAGATTTTTGTAGATTTGTTACTTTTTTCATGTATTAATACAAATTGTAAATAATTGTAATATCGAAGATTTTTTCAAAATTTTTTTTGGATATTTTAAAATGTTATATATTTTTCAGTCGACATTTTAATAGATTATTGTTGTTTGTTGCCTAACAGGTACATACGCCACCATTTATTTTTTAATTTAAAGACCTGCCACATTCTTTTTATCGATAAAAATCAATTAACACTATTGTAAACACACATTATTTTATCTATACAATTATATATTGTACTGAAGTTTTTACCATCTACAGTTTCGCGTCAACTCGTCTTCAAACCCCGTCTAATTAATGCTATATGACTTCTATAATAGTGTTGTCATAATTTGAAAATTAATTTTTTTTTAAATTTCGACGCAGATCTATTTTGCCTAAGTTCTCTGAAAACTACAGCTATGTTCGAAAATATTATTTCTATGAAAAAAGAGACCAACTGTTATGAAAATATTAAAAATAGTATTATGCAATTATAGTTTTACATAATTGAAATTGGAAAAAGAATACTGCGTTCATTGATTTATACTCATTAATGATTATGTATCAATGCTGCGGCTGTAAAACTAATATTATAATAATATTATGATTAATGATGCGACATTAAGGCGTCTAACGGCAACCATTCGACTGAAATGTAATCGTGATAGACTATACAGAGCGCCTTAATGTAACATTACACGGTTACTTATTGTGCAAGGTAACAATTGGTTTAATATAACGGGAAAAATTATCTTCTATTATATCATTATACTAACCGTTTAAATCATTGTAACCGTTTAACTATAAATTGACACGTTGCTTGGAACCGAATGGGATGCAATAGATAATGTAAAAAATAACATAGTAACAGCAATAGACACCAATCCGCGTATTTATTTAATTTTATCACAACTTCTACTAACAAAAAATAAATTAACAAATTTATATAATAATAATATTATACTTATTAACACAAAAGGTAATTGGTTAAAATTATAGTATAACCGATACAGTTTACTTTCTTACACTATCCTGTACAAGCGTCAAAATAATAATTGTATATTATGATCACAATTTTAAAATCAATATTGGTGAAAATCTTAAAAACACAATAAATCTAAGAAACAAGGATTACATGTAAATGAGTAGTCAAAATAAGAATAATTTGGTGACATGTTAAAAAAAAAAACAAAGAATACAAATCCTATTAAAAATTTGTGACTAGAAATTAATTTTTTTTTCACAAACATTTTTAAAACTAAGTCCTTACATACGTTATAAAATGATTAATAAAAAAATGTTCAACACAGCGCGCGATGAATGACGTTTATTTTAATTGACATTTCGTACGGTTTAAGTACGAAAAATATATTTAATAACGGTTTTGCTGTGTCATGTTTGATTATAAGTTTTTATGTTTTTTAATTTGTCCAACGAGCAGGCATTCGGAGTATACTTTTTTACCGCTCGACCAAATCTTATATTAATAATATATATATAATACAACAATAATTTTCAACTACCTAATATTTACAGAACGTCAAAACAGGAAGCACACTTAGAAACTGAATACGTCGTTTACTCTGCTTTACACCGAAACGGAAACAACGTAAGTACCAACCAAAGTAATTTTACTTTACATCACGTTGTACATATGAGTATTAGGGGGGGGGGACACACTACCCGACAAAGGTAACGTTGATTGCTGTCAGTTCCATGGGGGCCAGCTCTACTTGGTCAAGGCGGTCGACGGCACCCATGTCGTGCAATCCGGTCAAAGTGGTTCGCGACAGCCGGACGTTGTGGTCGACGAAAGCGGTGCCCTCGTCGAACGCGCCTTTGTCGTGTCGTAGCGAACAATCCGGGATCCGGACGCCTCGGTCGGTCCGACAGTCGAATCCCTTCCGGTGCAGAATCATGAGCGCCGACTGCGACGGGAACTGCTGGAACACGGAGTCGGACATGGTGCGCAGGTTCATCAGGTGCACGTCACACGGCAGCGACTTGCTGAGCGCCGCGGTTTTCGGCCTGAGCAAATGCTCGGCCTCGGGGTCCACCACGAACACGTTGGCCGGGTAAAGGAGACCCTCGGACAGGTGATTGGCCGTTAAACTGGGGTTGGACACTTGGTCCTTGTAAGAACCGCTGTCCGACGACAGCGACTCCAACAGTATCCAGTATTTGGTCACCGTCCGCTTGTTGTCCACCACACCCTCTCCCAAGCCCCGCGAGTCGTCGTACAACGTCCGCCTGTCCAGCATGAGTTCCACGCGGCCCGGTTCCCATCCAGTCACGCCCTGCGCGTGGTTCAGGAGCACCGTCAGCCTGTGTCGGTCGTCCTCGATGTACGTGGCCGACGTGGCCGGATAGTAGTTTCCTTCGACGCCGATGCGCTTGACGGTCACTCGCTTTTGCATCTGGAAACCGTTGGAGTCAGTGTAGATCACTGGCGGTTCGCCGTTGGTGATGCCCGTCGACAGTCGCATAAACAGCTCGGTCTCGCGGTTTTTCGGTGGCACGTCAAAGTCCACGACGTTTTCCACGTACAGGCCGCGGCTCTCCAAGCCCTTGACGTGGTACAGACGAACCGTGTGTGTCAGGATATTGTATATGACGGTGATCTCCGACGACAGGGGTCCCGATGTAATGATGATGGTCGGTGGTCCCGGGTAGTCGTCCAGCACTTTCCTCTCGGTATCCCTCAGGTTCGGATCCGGCATGAACAGGTATGCACCGCTGTGGAACTGCGCCGACTGGTACGCCGCGAAGTCGACGTTGACGTATTGCGAAGCGCCCGTATTCTTGTCAACAATCTTGCGGAGCAGTCCGGTCTTGCCATCGAACAGCGCTTGCACGTGCGCGTTTTCCAACTGAATGTCGCCCAACCGCATGGGCTTGACGGAGAACGCCGAGTGGCCAGCACAGTTCTTACAGTACACCGAGGACAGACCCTCGGGGTTGGGGGCACGGTGTACCGTGAACGTAGTTAGACTGAGTGGCTCGAGCACTGCGAAGAACAGCAGCTCGAAGCACACTTTAGAGATGGACAGCGGTTCGTCGGTCTTGCTGACGTTCCACACAGGGTTGATCTGATGCTTGACGGCCACGCCGTCGCTGTCCACTATGCGGACATTGGGCTCCGACAACAGGATCCTGATGGGCTCAGACCTGCGACGAGCATGCGAGTTGAACACCACGACGTTTCGCGGTTTGGTCTTGTCCAAGTTAAGAGCCAGCCTGTATGTGGGTTTGTCGTACGATTGCCGATCGCTGTCGGGTATAATGATTTTGGCCGAAGGCGAAGCGCCCGCCTCGTCCCGGGCCAACAAGCACTGAGCCGCGAAGCTTTGGACGAACGCGCAGTCCTGAATGCCCTCGAACAACTTGAGCGCGTAGTCGTTCATGACAAACGCCTTGGACGTACCGGTGATGGCGTCGTGGTGTTGGAAGAGAGCTAGGTTCTGCCGGGCCTTAGTCAGTTTCTCATAGTCACGCTCCAACAGTTTCACCGTATCGTTGAGCCGTTTGCGTCTGGCGTCGTTCACGGCTAACGTGAACAGTATCTCCGACGCTCTGAGGTTGGCTTCCAACTCTCTGTCCAACACCTTCCAGTACGGCCGACTGGTGTAGTAACCACTCCAGTAGGCTGGCCTACCCTCCGAGAATATATCGCTGTATACGAAAAAGTCACCGCGCAAAGTACTAAAGCGATCGCCACTGCGTTCTCGCAGTGCCTTAAAGAAGTCAGACGGTGTACCGAACCCGACTTCAGCACCGTGGTACCGCTCCTTATTAGCGTTAATGAAATCGAACAGTCGCTTGTAGTTCCTGTACTGTTGGTCCCATTCCATTTCTTGTTCGTACCGGAAGTCGTCACCCAACGGGATCAGCGCCACGTTGTACGGCGACACCGAACCCGTCCGACCGTACTGTTCCATCAGCAGATCGGCCTTTTGTCGCTTGTTCTGCTCGTCGATGGGCACGGCTCGAAGCGAGTACTCCGTGTACTCGCCGGGTATTTTTCGGAAATCGAAGTTCAAGCACACCTGAAAATAACAAATTAATATTAACGTGAAACGTACAGTTCAGTAAAAGAGGACCAGCCAGCAATTACAGTGGTAGAACAAGTCAAAGGTGTAGTTTATCATCCAGGGACGTATTTTGTGAGCTTCCTTTACAGTGGCTCTCCCGACAGAAACTTGGAAAATACGTTTGAACAGAATTTGCCACATAAGCCCAAAATCGATAAAATAATAACTAATTATTTACCTGAGGATGAGGTCCACATGAGTGTTTTATCGAGTATATGTCGAACGGTAGGTTATGCACCAGTGTGTCAGTGTGTCCGCTTCGGTCCCAGTTTTGTCTCCAGAAGAAGTGCCCGTTTCGTGTGCGAGCCAGCCATTCTTTCCATACGTAATGTATGCGCTGGATGACCGTGCCACCAGTGACTTCGGACTGTTTTAACAGATAAGGCACCGTGGGTCCATGTCCAAAAGGGTCCACTGACCAACCGGTTTTGACTTTAACGCCCAGATTATTCTTCACCCATTGATGTCCTGAAAACACGAAAAAACAACACGGTGGATAAAACGATACGCTTATAAAAGAGCTTGGAATCAATTGTAGAGAACATGCTAATACTATTAATTATCGCGAACAGTGAACTACGCAGCAAGAGCAAAGCCAATAGCTGCAAATGATGTGATAACAATGGAAAATCACACACACGGCTATCAGTCAGTTGAGAACAATGGTGTTCCGGCGGTGGTCGTGGTTCTTAATCGGAAAGCGCGACAACAATTCAAAATTTACATATAAATTGAAAAGCGTTTCCGACGCTCGTATTTTAAAACACGAAATTACCACGGATTGGTTGAAGATCGCCTCCGGCCGAATTTTATCGCATGAATTCGTTACAAATATTGTAATAAACCCTAACCAAAAAAATAGTAACGTAACAAAAATGGATCATACTACCACTAGTTGTTTGTTGAAAACCATACAATGGAATTATTGTGAACTTTGTAAGACTTTATCGCGTTATCCAGCACAAGTAAACTCACTTAAATTCCCAATATCATTTAGAGAAGTACGCTTACGCAGAATATTGATATTCTACATCAGAAAGCGTCCGAAGGTGGACTGTAAAATACATCTATACCTCTCGTATTAGGGTAGTAACGCGTCTGAAGAGTCGTAAGCTACGGTTTTTTTTCTAAAGCATCTCTATGGGAATGCTATTATATTGTCGTGCCCTTGGCGATTGACACGTCAAACGAAACGAGTACGGGTTGATTTTAACGATAGCTGTTCCAACATGTAAGTTTTGTGTTGCGTGTCTCCCGAGGTGAACCAAGTCGATTAGAATTTTTCTAAAGAACCTCCGTAACGATACGGCAAGTCTCAATTATTCAGCCACTGTATATGACGGTGCTTTAGCAGAATAGTACACAACATTGCTGGGCGAATGGACGTTTTTAACAAGCTGCACGTTGTCACCGCTACGGGAAAGCCGTTATGTACACGCCACAATGTTTCCGGTGCAAAAATGCTTTTAAGATTAAATCTGCTATTCCCTCGAATGACACTTGTCCTCTTCGAGTGCACTATCGCCGCACCGCAATACGCACACTTGATAGTGTCAAAAGCAACGACGGGTATGGCACTTTGGTCTACTATACACACACACACCTATCCTCACATTGGAAATGTTATCGAAACGACTTGATTCGCATACAGGAATTCTAATGAACGCGATTGTCTTCGAGTTTGAATATTGTCATTGCGTGGCGAGCACGACTTTTAAGCTTAACCTCCTCCTCTCGAGTGTTGGAAGAATCGAGTCGGCCTTTGCGACGACGGTGTTAATAATGATTTCCTTTCATCGAGTGCAAGAGAATGATTATAGAGTGCGTATATAATCAAAGTGTCGCGTCGAAAAGAAATCTCGCATCAAAAAAAAAAAAGGAACTCGCAAGTCGGTTAATATAAATTCACCAGCAATGAGAGCGAGGCGTCAAACAAATGGGAAATCCAAAGATAGCCGAGGGGAGAGTTGGTTTTAATTTAAACTCGGCGGCGGTCTTTGTACACATAAAACTGACTAGTACTTAACCGTTCCGTGAAAACTTCATTTGTTCTATCGACTATAATATTATTTTGGGAATTCCAAAACGAACACAATATGGGGAAAACTCAATTTTATCGCAGTGTCCACGTCAAACCACTGTCGCCTGTCGGTAATTGCAATTAAATCGCTTCAACCACCACCGCGGTATTGTGTGGCCCTTTGACCGCGTGTCCATACACCCTCAACCCCCCCACGGGATAGTAGTAACCCTAAATCGGCCTGATTGTTAGCTTGAACAGTTATAATGCACAGGTAGGCGGTATTATGAAGAGAAATCCGTCGAGACAAGAACAATGCCCTAATGTATGGCTTTTAATATATCGAGGACAATCTATCGGACAACAAACAACCCTCGTGACGTCCTTGCACACACATAGTAATAAAGTCTCCAAATCCTTTAGAATAATATTCATAAGCGTGTGCAAGGGATGTGTTTGGTGTGCTGTAGCTAGACTATGTCTTATTTTATTGGTTGTCCATTGATATTAAACATATTATGTTAATTATCAATGTTAGATACGGCTTTTTGGTTTAAAAGTGTATATTTTATCGAGGGAATAAAACATCAGCTGTTATCAAATTATTATGAAATAACAATTATTATTCTTTATCATAGACTTACAGGACCGATCAAGTATATATATATATATATATGAACTGAAATAATAATACATAGGTAGATATTGTTTAATAATTATTTTCGCAATTTTATAATTAAATATACATATACTAATTTCTATGTATTTAGTGAATCGATAAAGCCGTTTCTTTGTTTATGAGTGTAATTTTTCTTTTATCTATTGCTACGTCGGAAAATAAAAAACATCTCTCGGTTCCTTTTAAAGAAAGCAAAAAAAAAGTTCTTTATGTAATTTCTAGTGTAATTAATTAAAAAGTGTTGTTTAAAAAGAAATTTGATACAATTATACATATTAATACAATTACATAATATTTTATAATATGTATTACATTTCAATAGTCATAAACTTTATGATTTTACTTCTTAGTTTACGACTTCTGTGTAAAGAAATCCTTATTTGTCAGCCGTGTCTGTTTATTTAGAACCATTTTTAATAACCATGATATTTCTAATATTTTGTTTTTTGTGAAATATCAAAAATGACCGACAGGTCTGATTTTTTATTTAAAAAAATATTCTGCATGGAAATTGTGGATACAAACAAAATAGGTCGTAGCTCAAAAGTATCATTCGAGATACTTGATACCTACGTATCAGACCGACCATTGCGTTTTGTAGAAATAATAACAATATCACAATAAATACAAACTGACCTTGACCGACGGTGACTAAGTGAAACGGTTATTATTTACTTCTAATTGCCGTGCGAATGACGGATTTAAGTCACACACACTGCCAGAGGACATGTGACACGCAAAAACCACCGGAAATCCGTTCGATTCTTCAGAGACGGCACTCGTCGCACTTGACTTTGACCGATTAATAACTCAGCCGGCAAGGCGGTCGTTTTATCGTCTTCGACCCGTGCACGTGTACCTGCCCATATAAGGCAAACGTGTCGAATCGCTTAGAGCGACCGCGGTTGCCCGTCACCCTGTAGATTTAAAACGGCCGTTGCCAGTTCGACAGCAAATAGCTATTATTATTATATTGTTATGTTAAACAAATTATTGTCGTTTCGCAGTTGTACAGATTTTTGACGTGTGCAGTCTGCGACTGCATTAGATTCGCGATGGCGGCGACAAGCGTGTCCGATTGGCAAAGAGTTTTTATGTCAACCCGAGGGCTAACCTTGCGTCGTGCCACGGTAAAAAATGCGTTTCCGAGAAAACGATAAAAAGTAAAACAAGTCGTTGTAAAAATTGAAGAAAAAAAAGTATTACGTGGTTCAAAATTTGATTTCTCAATTTGTTTGCACAAAAAACAAATACAATTACTCGCCCTCTCGCCTAATACCCTATAAACCACGGTAGGGAAAAATTGCAACAGATTCACGCCTGAAGTACCGTCGTAGCAGATTGTAAAATGTGCAAAGTAGTTATAAAACAAAGAAAAACTAGTAGTATGAGCAACGGAAAATGAAAGAAAAATAATAGAGCGTATTGAATAGAGCGAAGCAGCATCGGCATTGTTGAACGCCTTAGGGGCATTTTTTTTTAAATTCACAGTATATACATAACAAAAAACCGACCAGATGAGTTTTCATTAATATAATGCGCAACCGGAGTTATTGCCCTTTAAATTTTGAGGTTCGCGAAGAGGGTAGAATAAACTATACAAGACAACAAAGCGCTGTCGCGACATTATGGGCACAAACATAAAAAATAAAAACTCGGTGTGTATAAACGAGCGTTTAAAAAAGTATACATCTGAAGTGAAGTAAAAACAAACAAAAAGAAGAAGAAAACTCCTCACCTAAGTGCGGAACAAAAAGAAAGACGGTAAAATTATTTGAGTTATTATAACGAAATACGGGTAAGTACTCGAGGGAAATAGTACCTACCCATAATAAATCCGTAGTCGTTGTCGCACTTTTGTTTTGATTTCCAAAACGCCTATACGTCTTCATAAGCGTTGTTTTTCTTAATATTAACGACTATGGGCCACTGAACTCAATATATATTAAATTATATTGCCTATATTAGTCGGCTACCAGTTTGTGAACAGTTATTGTTTTGTCCAGGATATTTATTGTTTTTTATATGATTTATCAAATTTCTACACGGATATATACCATAATAAACTAGATTGATAGCAATAAAATTGAAGTCGACTTCGGCCATTTTTGTGAGATTTGTGTGTGTATAAAATAAGATATATTTATATTTTATTTATACAGTGGTTACAGTTATAGACACGAGATAAGGTTCTAATTCCCACAAACATGGCAGGAAATGGTACATTCAATTATCTCTATTGGCGGCATTTACACACTTAGCAATCTAGTTATTATATATATATATCTGTGCATTTCTATGATTTATCAAATATACAATGACAGACAATCTATAAGAAAATAGTCTGTGATATGACGGTGTTATCATGGCCTAACGTCACATTTTAATATGCATCATGGAAAAGTAACGTAGCATTTTTACTTTCTATAAAATTGATACACAAAAGGGCCACTTCCCCCCAGGCGGTCGGTACATTTTTAATCTGAATACTCGTTCCTTATACCACCCGGAGAATAACCCAAGATCTCAACCTAGACCCTGGATAATGCGACTTTTACCTTCGATCATTTGATCCAGCATGCCGTAAATGTGCGATGTTGCCTCGTCCGTCATCACCCATCCGCCGGTCGTGATCTCCAACCGTCCTTCGGCCAACAATCTTCGGATCACTTTCCTCTTGCTGGGGTGTGCACTGTAACACATGACAAACGCATAAAAAAATTAGAACAATATTGAATTGTGTTATCTCACGATAATATTGTTTAAAAGGCACACACGGAATCTATATAGACTGCGGTATATAATTAGGCTAAAGCTAAATAGATCGTCACTTATTGATAAGCCGAAAGTTAGGTAAGCACGCCTATAGTGATATGATAATACAATTAATATTAAATTAATAATATTAGATTAAATTTCCGTTACTGATTTCGTAACGCAAAAATGTCCACGCAAATTTTTAGATTTATAACCTGGCTAAAATATGTATAAATGTTAAAAAATAATTGGTATATGGGAGGAAATCAACAGCTATGATTACACAGTTGAACAGTGTAGTCAGTTCGGCAAGGGACGTTAATGGTATTGAAAAAAACAAAATGTAATGTTTAATAACTAAAGAAAGTTTACAAAAAGAAAAAAGTCTAAAAAAACGTTATTTCTACGAACCGTTTGTCCAGTTGCGTAGAACTGATCATAATTTATTATTTTTTTATTGTTATTTGAGTATGATTTTTATGGTTTCATCTGACTGATGAACCTTGATGTTGTCCCACAGACAAAAAGTGTAGCGTAGGCGTAGACAAATGACGAGTCCTATGAAAACCATTGCCGATTGATAACAATCAACCGTGGCTTTGGTTGTGACATTAATCATATAATATAGTTATCCATCTTACCCACGGTTAACGTCTCTGGGGATATTTATATGCATTTTTAACCGAGTCGGTTCCATTAATTTGCCGCGGACGGTTAATATTGACTGACAACAAAATAATTTTCTCACCAGACGCTCGCTATAATATTTTTCTACATAGTCGATACATTTTATGAAACAACTTTTCTTTTTTTTTTTGTTCCACAGCTGTTGGCTTGTCAATTTCAACTATCGACGGTCAACGTCTAATCCGTATTGATGTATTTGATATTTTTATGAACGCGATTCATGCGGTTGTGACAGTTTTGCGCGGTATTTAATGGGCTCTCTCTTCCCAGACGGGCAAGTTTTACAAAATTAAATGCAACTTTTGTTTTATTAAAATATAAAATTTTAAAAATACTTGTTGTTGTTAATCAGTTCGAATAATAGTCAGCGTAAACTATGATTATTGTTACAAAAAAATTCCAAATTTTCATGTAAAAAATGTTATTCTCGGTGCAATTTCAGCCCCCCCCCCTAGACATGTTCAAACACTTAAAACTTAAATTTCCAAAAGCCAACGTTTTTATATCCCATTTTTTTTTAATGAGGGATTTATTAAATATGGCCAATTCAATATTTTACTAACACAAACTTGCAGTGTTTTCAGCACTAAGTGATTCATTAAAGATAAAACGCTCATTTTCTCTTTAAAATAATTGCAATTTTTCAGTTTTTCTTTTTGGAGACACTTTGGCTTATGTTATCTTACATTATTAGATAATATTCAAATTTTTTTTTTTCCAAAGCTCTATCAAGTATGAACTTTTAAAATTTAAATGTTAACGTATATATTTAATTCACTTTTTATATTGTCAATAACGAATTATTCTTGTTATAAAAAGTGAATTAAATTTAAATTTAAAATGTTCATATTGCTTTGAAAAAATACTAAAAAGGTAAATGTTTAGTAATTTTATAATATTATTGTAAGATAACATAAACAAGTGTTTTTAAAAATTGAAAACTACAAAATGTTGTAATTATATTCTGATAAAAGGACTGTCTTGTCCCTAATGAATCGCCTGTATACTCCATGTCACCCCCTGAATTTGTGCCAATAATTATGTCACTGTTATTGATGTTATTCTTAGTATGTCCTATCACGTTAAACTGTGTAATGATGTATTGTGGGGACGGGCAGACCGTTGGCGATTAAACCTGTATAATCGACCTTAACATATCCCCTTGTTGGTCTATGCAGATTACCGGAATCACCCTTTGCCCGGTAATACACCACGTAGAAATATTAATCGTTTTGGCAGCGTGTCTGTTGTAATCTATCCTATAGCATAAGCCCTAGCCCGTTTTGGACACATGTTTTAAACCTACAAAATACAATACAACAGTCGGACTTTGGGCTTTGGGATCTGATATATCGCCAATGACTTTTCTTTGTAACTTGTCTCGCCCAGGCAAATCGGACAGCGCAAGCAGCATTTGTCGTTTTGGTCCCATTAAAAAAATCCTATAAGAAATTATTGTTGTTCCATCGGCGGGTAATAATTCTTCCTGTTATTATTATCATTAAAAAATCTTATGGTGCAAAGATTAACGGGTAGGTAATTCGTCGTATCAGATTTACAGATGACATTGCTATGATAAGACTCAGAAGCAATCGTTGTCTTTAACGTTTAATGCGGTACTACGAACGATGCCTCATGACGATAAACACAAAGAAGACAAAAGTCATGGTAGTGACTGAAGAGAATAGTGTGTGCCTCGTGAACATAAAATTAGCAGTATAAATATCTGGGAAGCACACTAACTAGTGACACCAGATGAAGAAATAAGACGACGAAAAGCTAAAAAAATATAACTACTCACCAATAACAATCTTAGCTTAAAGAACATATTTAGAAACTTTGTAAAAAGTTATGTGTGGAGTATTTTGTGAAGATTGTACGTCGTATTAGTTGGAAGGGCGTTTCAGAAGTTCTCTAACTAATAAGCGAGGAGAGAGTTCTGCAAGCTAGCATAACAACAATAAGTGGAGTACTGATAGAACACTTATTAAGACATAACCAACATAATGTAAGGAAGAATCAATACATCAAATGCAAGATCTTTATTGTTTCGAAGCGACAGACAAAAAAGAGCTTAAAGGAAATAGGAATGACCGAAAACTCTAGACCTTCGGTAGGCGTTTGTACGTTTTTTTTTTAACGTGTTAACTGTATTATAAAAAAATTGTAATTAATTGATTTCCTCTATTGTACGGTAAACGTAACGCGTTATGTGGAAAGGGTCGACACCAGGAATTGCACAACGTTTAATGTATTTTATACACAATATGTACATTTATATTTTAAAATTATTAATCGTATGTATATATTATAATCTGTCAGTTTAAACGCACAAATATCAGTAATTATGGACCAGACGGAAGGAAGCCGATAGAAATCTGTTTAAAACAGAAAATGTTTTTTAAATGCAAATACACATTCGTCAGCCCGATCCTATCAGCCGGAGCGACCCCGCGTTAAACCCTAAAGCGACAGCATGAATATTAATAATAATATGTATAAATGTGATTTTCAATCCGCAACTATAGCCTGTATAGTTAATTTTATTATATTCCGGGTAAATTGTGTATTGACAGAACTTTACACAAGTTAAAAGCGTAGTTGAAGTTATGTCGAAAACAAAAACGCTAATAATTTCAAAGCCCTTCGGTCTAGTCCGTTGATAACAACTATTCGATGGACATAAACGAACAGTTTGTGTGACGGTATAACATACCGATTGAAAGGCAAGTGCGTTTTACACCCACTAAGGAGGTCTTTACTTTTTCTTTAACGACATCCAAAACCGGATACGACTTGAAAAGATACGAGAAATGAAATACAAAACTCATTTCCGGTGAAATAACTAGATTTTTAAAACAAACGGTGCGAAAATGAAAAGCGTCGGAGGATTGCCTCTTAAAGCAACAAATATCGATTCATTTGTACTCAGAATTTCATGGCCACCTGATTTTTTGATGATTTACTAAAATAATGAAACACGACCAATGTAAAACCTTTTTGGCTTCAGTCGAACAACAACAATTAAAAGTTTTTGTATATTTTTTCAGTAAGAAACCAAAATTTAGAGAGGGGAGGGATGAAACTTTTGAATTTATATGGTAACGTCATTAGATTTTTGAAATTAAGAATAACTTGCTAAGAATTTTGACGATAACCAATATTGAGTTACTTATTTGGTAAATTACAAATCTCAAAGAATTAAATTAAGTAATTATAATTAAGGCTGAAGTCTTGAGTGAAGAAACCATTGATGGGACTTCATGAAAAATATTACTACACTCTATCCTTGCTCCCTCCCTGAATTTTGAACTTTAACAACTTTTAAACCAAAACTGGTTATCGACCAGTCAAAATTATTCTAAATTTCAATAATTAATTAAATGTATACGTTACCATTTGAGTGTCAAAAGTTAATTCTCCCTTTAATCTTGTTACCGTGTAGAAAAAAATGCAATGACGTTAAAATATCAAAAAGGTTTTTTGTAAGTAATTTTACATCATCAAAAACTCAGATGGGCAATGAAATTGTGAATACCCTGTTTGTTATACCTATAAGTTCAACTAGCCTAACAATCACATTGATCTATGTACTCTGTGCCGCGATAGCGGCTATATAGTACTCGACTACACGACCACAGCTATACTAGGAACATAATATTTAAACAAAGCGAAAACGGGCATACACGTACTGCACATGTATATTATATTATGTTTTGACCGGAACACAAACGTCATCTGAAATTAAATGGGTTTTTGGAATGAATTTATGTGTTGCGGTCAGGTTAGGTTAGGTTGGAGTGTATCGCAGTAACGCAAATGCAATTACATGGGAACTGAGAAACGAGGGATGCAGAGTCATACGAGGGAGGCCTATAGTTTGACCGGGGTATAGAGGCCATGATTTAAATAAATATCATTTGCACGACGACCTTTATAAATAGTTAATTATTTCAGAGACGACGAAACTAGCAGCGAGTGCGACGCTTTTGGGTCAGCAAATAGGCTAATCCGAGACAATTAAAAAAATAACCAAAAAAAAAAATCGCCAGAATAAATGAATTCGTTTCTATGATAACCACCGTCTACCACCTGTAGAATCTCTGTTATTTTAACTCGCGTAGCAAGTGTTGTATGCGTGTGTAAAAATAATGGCCCATTTTGTTTTTAAAGTAACAGTTGAAAGCCGGTAACGCCAGAGCGGTAGATTTTTATCTATACACAAAACGAAAACACAACATCTTAAAG